ATGATCTCATATATATAGGATTACAACATTTAAAACAACAACCACCAACTACTAACAACCACTAACCACCAACTACTAACCACTAACCAGTAACTAATAATAATTCTAACAGCAATAATTGACTTAACAATGACATATGTCAACGCATTTTAATAGTGAAAAATTGAAAGAGGAAGATTATCCTACAAGTTTTACTAGTTGTGTCTAGTACTGTGTCAATGTTTCTTTTGTGTTCTTGTGATTATTATGAGCCAATACTTCATAGGCACTAGTTTGTGTTCTATTAGAAATTTTAGGCATCCCTTGCAGAAAATTTACGGAAATGGACTTTACAATCCACCTTTTTACAAGGAAGAAAATTAACATCTTTCTTGTTGAGTCTAATCTTATTGTCATGCTTGATTGATTTATATTCACAGTCCATATTTTCATTTTCATATAGGATGGCATTCTATTCGAATTAGTAGTTATGCTCCAATCCAAAGTTACATTATTGATTTTATGTTTATTTTTTCTTCTGGTCTATTGCTTTACATTCTCTTGCTTCTTTGATACTCAATAATGCTTTCATGCTCCATATGATAAGATAAGTATTTTAAGAGTTGACATCTTCAAAATAATTTATTAGGGATTAATCAACTTATTTGAAGCAATAATGCAGAAAAGAAATAGTTTTTCTTATTCATTGAGGAGAGATAGAAGAGAATTATATTACATCTAGACTTCTAGGTGTCATGCAGTGTATCTTAGGCATTACACTTGCCAATATATTGTTGTGAAGATCTACTTTATTCATTTCAGAATTTTAAACACACTTCTATTCTTCGTTTTTTCTGCAGATGGTATGTTCATGTTGTTTTCTCTATTTGTTGAAACGCTGGAGGATGATATCTTTCACAGCAAACGACTCCTTACATATATCAGATAACTCAACAAAATTTGTATCATTGAAGACTTTGAAGCACACACTTCCTCTGTCGGGAGCATACTTATTTTACATGGTATACCCTTTACCCCCCTGAAGAAAGAGAACAAATACTCAACAAGTTTTGTTTATTATTTTTTATTCACCCCTGTACATGTCCTTAGCTAGTCACCATGGAGTCCGTTCGTGGAGTAAATGTTCCAATGTACACAACTATTAGGAGAACCACAGTGGTGTTTACAATGCTTGTTGAGTTTACTCTGGTAGGACAGAGGTATACAAGTTCTGTTATTTTCAGGTAAGTTGTTTTTTTTTTCATTGCATAATATAATCTGCAGTATAGCACATTTTGTTCAAATAAATCTTTGATTCATGCACCTAAAAGCTTAGCAACATATGTAAACTGCACAGTTTAATGTAGGGGAAGTGAATTGTTTGGACAAGCTTCTTCATAAAGCCTTCTAGGAGAGAAAAATATGAAAAAAAAAAAATGAAAATGACTTCTCCATAAGTTAAAACTAGCTTATGCATTAGTTAAGAATAAAAATATAGAAAAGTTATATGAGTAAACTTCTACAAATTAACCTGTTCATAAGCTAGTTTTAACTTATGGATAAGTAAATTTATTTATGTTTTTTTTATTTTTCTTTCCTAAAAGTCCTTAAGGATAAAATTTTCCAATCAAACCCTCTTTTTATATATATATATATGCATATTAGCTATCATTTCTTCTGGGGTTTATAAGTTGAGTAGTTTGTGATGGAAATGTTCATTACCAACTTGATGATTACAAGTGCCCTAAATTGATTATCAGAGAAGTCTAAGTTCTGCTGGGTGAAGGCACATGATGTGTGTTATTATATCTATAAAAATGTCCCCCTACACCCCAAACCTCGGCCAAGGGCCCTTTGAATTTGAAGTATGGACAATACATTGATCTACTTGAGAAAATAAGAGAAATATTATAATATTTGGGTGTGTCTCCAAACCCAAATCACCTCATATTTATAATGGAAGGTTGTAGAGATACATTGATTAGAGGGGAGATGAAAAGATTAACTTTTAGAAGATACAACTCATAGATAGATGCAATTGATTAATACCAATCTAGTAAATATAAATCTTGTGAATCTAGCACTCCCCCTCAAGCTGGAGTATACAAATTGTATGTGCCAAACTTGGAATAAATAAACTCAATTTGAGGTCCTCTTAGAGACTTTGTTAATGCATCTGTAAGTTGATCATTGGACCTGACAAATTCACTACTGATTTCTTTGGACAACAACTTTTCTCGAATGAAATGATAATCACTTTCTATATGTCTTGCTCCCTCATGGAACACTAGTTTTGAGGCAATGTGGGGAGCAACTTGATTATCACAATATATTTTCATTTGTTAAACCTTACAAAAGTTAAATTCTTGGAGGAACATGTTTTACCCGCATAAACTCACAAGTAAGAGACGTCATTGCTCGGTATTCAGCTTCAGCAGTTGATTGAGCAACTACATTTTGTTTTTAGCTTTTTCAAGAAATGATATTTTCTCTAAGGAAAACATAATATCCTGTGGTGTAACGTCTATCCATTGGAGACTCTGCCCAATCAGTATCACAATACCCAAAAACTTGAGAGTATTTCTTTAATCTTCATATAATAAGCCTTGACTGGGATCTTATTTTGTGTATCTTAGGATATGGATGACAACATTCCAATGATCCGTACAAGGAACCTGCATGAACTGACTCATAACACCTACTACGAATGACAGATCAGGTCTAGTGATAGTAAGATAAATAAGTTTCCCAACCAACCTTCTATATTTTTCTGGGTTAGATAAAACTTCCCCTGTTCTGCCATTAATTTTTTATTTGGGTCCATAGGGCTATCCACAGGTTTACAATCCATCAAACCAGTCTCTTATAGAATATTAAGAGCATTTTTCCTTTTGAGAGATTACAATACCTTCTTTTGACTAGACCAAGAAATATTTGAGACTTCCAAGATCTTTGGTTTGGAAATGACTACATAAGTGTTCCTTTAATTGAGATATGCTAGTGACATCATTCCTTGTAATTACAATATCATTCACATACACTATTAAGTAAACACATTTTCCAAGGGATGTGTGAAAATAGAAGACTGAATGGCCTGCTTCACTATGTTTCAGCCCAAAGGCTTGAACAATGAAACTAAATTTTCCAAACCAAGTTCGTGGAGATTACTTTAGACCATAGAGAGAATGACACAACATACACACCAGACCAGACTTCTCTTGAGCAAAAACCTAGGAGGTTGCTCCATATAGACCTCCTCATCTAGATCACCATGAAGGAAGACATTTTTAATGTTCAATTGATGAAGTGACCAATGTCGAATAGCTATCATAGCAAAAAAGAGAGAAATAGTATTAATTTTTCTCCTGGAGAAAAATAATCATTATAATGAAGGCCATAGATCTAAGTATATCTTTTTGCAACTAGTCAGACTTTGAGACGGTCTACTTCACCATTGGGACCAACTTTAATATTATAAATCCATTAACATTCGATAGTCTTCTTCCTAACTGAAAGGGGAACTAACTCCCATGTATTATTATGATTAAGGACCTGCATTTTTGTAATCATGGCTTGTCGCAATTCAGAATGATCAAATGCTTTATTCACATTTTTAGGAATAGTAATAGAAGAGACAAAGGATATAAAAGTGCAATAAGAAGGAGATAGCCTGTGATAACTAAGGAAATTATAGATAGAATGTGGATTATGAGTAGTACGAGTACCTTTATGGAGGATAATGGGTCAAGCTGAATCATCAGTGTCAAGAACTGTGGAAGAGGGAGATGATTGAGAAGTACCTGATGAAGAGGACTCATCTTGAAGCATTGAACTAGTCACTTAGGTCTTGCGTTGGTAAGTGATAAAAGGTAGAACAAATGGAGTAGGTGCATACTGAATGGGAGATGATGGGTTAGTAGAAGGATCAAAAGACTTAATCAATGATATAGGAAGGACCTGTTGGATAGATTGAACATCTTGGATGGATGAAGAAAGGAAAGAAGTTTGTTCAAAAAAGGTAACATGGACAGACATGTAAAATTGGTTTCAGGAGAGTAACAACGATATTCTTTTTGAAGATGGGAATAACCCAAGAAAACACACTTGATAGCCCAGGTGGAGAGTTTGTCCAATGCTAGAGTCATATCATGAACAAAACAAATATATCCAAACACACAAGGGGAACCATGAAAGAGAGGTTCATTGGAAAAAAAAAAATGAAATAAGGAACTTTATTGTTAAGAGAAGATGATAACATTCTATTAATAAAAAAACATGCAGTGAGGACAACGCCACCCAATGATGGACCATTATATTAGCCCCAAACAAAAGTTCAAAACAATCTTTCATTAAATAAACCCAAATACATTTTGAAAAATCATCAATGAAGGTAACAAAATATTTAAAATCAAAAGAAGAAACCTGACTTGGTCCCCAATCATCAAAATGAATGATAAAAAGGGGAACTCACATCTAGATTCAGAATGTCTAAGAAAGCAAGACTTATCATGTTTTCCTAATTGACAAAACTCACATTCTAAAGTTTGAAGATGACTAAGTTCTGGAACCATTTTCTTTAACTTTGCCAAGTGGGAATGACCTAAACGTTCATGTAAAAGCGGGGGGAAGGAGATGCAAAACAAGACACAAATGAGCTAGATCTAAAGTAGTAGAGACCTTTAGATTTATGTCCTTCTCCAATCAGTTGACCCATCCCACGTTCCTATATAACAAAAAATTTGACATCTAAGGTTATAGAGCAATTTAATGATTTTGTTAGCTGACTTAAAGAAATGAAATTAAAAGGATAGACAGGGACGAGAAGAACAAATTTTAAGTGTAAGGTAGGAGAAAGGGATGCTTGGCCAATTCCTTGAGAAGCAACTTTGGATCCATTGGCTAGGGTTATAAGATGATGATTTTTAGGATAAGAAAGGGAAGAGAATATAGAGGTATTACTAGAAATATGGTTAAAAGCACCCGAGTCAATAATCTATGGACTTTGACCCTCCACAAATTGTTAAATGCAGGCAGTTGACATGCTGGGAATTGAGGCTAAACTGTTAGACTTCAACCTAAAATATTCCTAATATTCCTAATTAGAAATTTTTTTTATCAACAACTGTAGATGTGAAGACATTGGTTGTTTTATTAGGGAAACCATGAAGAGAGTAGCAATTCTCTTGGGTATACTCCATTCTTTTACCGTGTGTACATTGATGATGTCCTTTACCACCATGTTCTCCTCTAGTTCCACGACCTCCTTTCCCATAAGTGTTACCATAACAAAAGATTTTGTAGATTCTTGAAACTATTTATCTCAATGGCAGAGCTTCTCGGGAGGTGAGGAGGGCTATGACCCTCAAAAGTTTTGTAACTTACATTAGTATTTATGATTTTGGCTCCTCCAATTATTAAATATACCTGTTTGCATGGTTATCAAACTCGCAAGTTAACTCGCTGACTCGTACGAGTTAACTCGTGATTAGACTCGTTTTAGAATAGACTTGGAGTCAAACTCGGTGAACTCGGTGGACTTTGGGTAAAGTCGTGAATTAGAGATGAATCAGCGAGTTTGAAGGAAAATAAAAACTTGGATCTTTTTTTACTCTCCTCATTTATTCTCATAAGTTCAAATCTTATTCCTTCCCACTTTCGTCACTGCTTATTGTCGTCGGTGGTCATTGTCGCATGCTTGCCCTTGGTCGCGCAGTGGTTATGCAACGCTCGCTTGGGTCGTGCACGTTCATTTGGGTCGCGCAGTGGTTGTGCGATGTTCACCTGGATCGCATGGTGGTCGCACTTCTTGCAGTTGCTCGCCGCTGCTTAACGCCCTCTAGGTTAGATTGAGGAATGAAGGGATTTGGGATTTTAGGTTTTCGAATAGATTGGACAGGTTTGATTGAGGGATTGAGGGATTGAAGGATTTAGAATTTCAGGGTTTCGAATAAATGGAGAGATTTTAGACATTTAGGATTTTTTTTTTAATTTTGATTATACTATTGTACAAATTCAATTATTTTTTTAATTATTTTAATAATAAAAAATTAATATTATTATATTTATTATTAAATTGATATTTTTTTATATGAAGTAAACTCTTACGAGTCTACGAGTCGAGTTTACCGACCTCTCAGTCGTGTAGCTCTCAGTCGTGTAGACTCTCGAGTACGTGTAGACTCTCGAGTCGCTAACCTGCTGCTTAACGCCCTCTAGGTTAGATTGAGGAATGAAGGGATTTGGGATTTTAGGTTTTCGAATAGATTGGACAGGTTTGATTGAGGATTGAAGGATTTAGAATTTTAGGGTTTCGAATAAATGGAGAGATTTTAGACATTTAGGATTTTTTTTTAATTTTGATTATACTATTGTACAAATTCAATTATTTTTTAAATTATTTTAATAATAAGAAATTAATATTATTATATTTATTATTAAATTGGTATTTTTTTATATAAAGTAAACTCTTACGAGTCTACGAGTCGAGTTTATCGACCTCTCACGAGTCACGTGTAGACTCTCGAGTCTCGCTAACCTTACCTATTTGTATATTTACAAATTTGACCTCACATTTTCATATCTTTTATTTTTTCATATTTATTTATTATTATTGTTAATATATTATTTGGCCCCCTCAAGATCAATGGTTAAGATCTGTTGCTAGTTTATCTCTAAGAGTTGGAACACGAAGAAGTCTTGTTGTTAAGCTATACATGGTTGGAACCTCATGACCAATTAATGTTTGATCCCTAATGGGATCAAAATTTGAATGCATAGCACGAAGTATTATTACCATATAAAACTTGTCCAACATTCCCTTAATTTCTTCTAGAGAATCAACTTCTAAAAACATCCGCAATTCTTCAACTGCAGATTGACCTTTAGCAATAAAGGACATCATATCATGGTCTTCCTGTTTAAGAGATGCTAGTTTTTGGGCAGAATTGTACAAGCATTAAATGTCATTTGCAAAGATACTTTGGGTTTCCTTTCAAAAAGATTTACAAGTTTTAAAAGTTTGAAGTGTTCCCAAAATATTGGGCTCTACATATTGCCATAATAGAGCACACAATTGAAAATCTTATTTTTTCCATTTTTCTGAATCATATGGGATTTCACTCACATCTTTTTCAAGATGGTCATGGAACCCTTATCCCAGAAACTAGAGTTCCACATATGCTGAGCAAGATAGATAATTTTTCCCATTAAATTTTTTCTCATGTGATGGAAAGAGTCCCAATGGGCTGGTCCAAAGGCTATTTCTGACCCGACGGAGATAAGACAACGCACAAAAGGAGAAACCCCAAAACAGACGGTAGTGAGTGACGGTGACTGGCAGTGGCTGACAGCAATTGGTGGCAGGGTCAAATAGAACCAGAACAGGCAAAGCAAGATAAACTTGCTTTGATACCAACTTAAGAGAAAATAAGAGAAATATTATAATATTTGGGTGTGTCTCCACAACCCAAATCACCTAATATTTATAATAGAAGGTTGTAGAGATACATTGATTAGAGGGAGATGAAAAGATTAACTTTTAGAAGATATAACTCATAAATAGATACAACTAATTAATACCAATCTAGTAAATCTAACAAATCCTAAATAGCATTATGGAATAACCGACCCCAAAACTGTTATAGCAGAATGGCTGCTATCTGAAGATTATGGAATTAATTAAATAGTTGATACTACTCATAAAAGCTTAAGCTAGCAAGTTGTTAAAAAATCTCCTATTTTTGGGTAAATATTCCCTATCTAGTTATTGTATAGTTGACTATATTTTCTGTAAATATTTAGGATTATTTGACTTATTATCCCAGTTTCCTTATATCAGAGATTGTAAATCATGGAGATATATATAATCTAGCTACCGAATTCCTCTTTGTGTAGATGAATGCTAATCAATGTGTGAAATTTTGACATGGTTGTAAATGAATGCTAATCAATGTGTGAAATTTTGACATGGTTGACAGGTATTACTAATTCACGTCTTCTTGATGATGTCTCACATTATCTTCTCTCTTCTTGTAATGCTCACATATCTTCATTCAAACTATCTAATCCAAGATTAAAATACTTGTGTTCATGGAGGAAAAGGGAAATGAGCCATTCTGATTTTGGAACATGTTTTACACCACTCTTACATTTGGTATATGCAATCTATATTTGCTATGCTGGACATTAAAGTCTCAGATGTCCCCCTGTATGAACTTCTTTTGGTTATATCCCCTTTTCATTTTATAAGCCAAAGAAGTTAAAGTTCAAGTTATTTGAAAGAGCATCTGCCTGATTCCTTCATTTGACTGAAATTTATAAGGTTGTTATCAGTGTTGGCTTGATTGTCTTTGGGGCATTTGTTGCTGGAGCAAGAGATTTTTCTTTTGATGCTTATGGATATGCTGTTGTTTTCATGTCAAACATCGCCACAGCAATATATCTTGCAACCATAGCTCGCATTGGTTGTATTCCTATACTCTCACTCTCTCACATATAGTGGAAATTTTATATCTTCTTCCCTTGGCCTGCATTTTCTTGTTTATAACTGATAAGGTTATTGTCTGTCAGGAAAAACTAGTGGTCTTAATAGCTTTGGCCTTATGTGGTGCAATGGTAAGCTGATATATTTATTGTATGATGGTCTATTAAACTTACCCTTTCTAGTGTAGCTGAATTTCTTATTTAAAAATGGAAATACTCTTGTTTTTTATTGTAGGTGTCATATGTGGGCCTGTTTTGCTCATCTGGACATTTGTTCGTGGTGAGTTGAAGACAGCAATCAATTTTCCATATATCTTCTCGCCTGGTTTTATTGTATGTTCTGCTTTACCCTTTTCTCATTCAATAAATTGTAGTATTCTCTCTTAATTGTTGGACATGCATTGGTTACTTTCCAAAAGAAATATAATTTTTTGATAGGAATACTGATCTAACTAATCTAGCGGACTAAGATTCATGTAACCCAATGGCCACTAAGACTTGAGATTTACTGAAAAGCCTTGGCAAGAATATTCCGAAAGCCTGAGGGGTGATAGAGGGATTACGTGTATCTTATTAATAGAGGAATTGAAGAGTAGGGAGGGATTACGTGTATATTTTCCACTGTTCAGCTTTTAGTATAGGTTAAAAAATATGTCATTATTAGTATAGTACTTTAGTTTAATATTTGCTAATGTGAAAATTTAATTTAACTTTGCTAGAAATTTATTCAATGTTTTCCACCATGACTTTGTTTATGTATGAACCCCTGGGGCTGAACCTCAAACCCTAAAAACTCTCCTTATATTTTGAAAACATTTGGATGTAATACAAAATATGTTAATCTGTCTTAGTTGATCAGTATTTGCAATTGAAAGGATTGCATGTTTGTTAATAAACAAGCAATTGTCTTCTGTGTATATGTAACTCAGCACCAAGCTTTAAACATGATTTCCTCATAATTTGAAATTATGAGAAGTTGTAATTTCTCTATTTTTTTTTTCTTGTGCAGGTTATTTTGCTTTTTTCCTGCATACTGGCATTCTTCTTGAATTACTGTATTTTTCTAAACACAACTCTAAATTCAGCTGTGACACAGACCATTTGTGGTAATCTGAAGGTATTTATCCCTTGCTTCTTGTTTTACTTTGCATAAATAGTGCACCTAGATTTACAGGTTGTCATGATGATGTCATAAGGCTTTGCTTTCATAATGATGATGGCATAGTATAGTATGAACTTTTCTGTGGAAGGACTGGTTATGTGCTACGGAACTTCTACAAATTTGACTAATATAGGGTGACAAATGGATGTATTAGTACTCTTGTTTGGCTACTAATTTTGGAATTTGTCGAGATTCTTCTAGTAAATTTTTGGTGTACAAATGACTAAGTGTAATCATAGTTATCAAACTCGTGAGTCAACTCGTTGACTTGGGCGAGTTAACGAGTCTAGTGACCGATCACGAGTTAACTCATGAGTAGACTCGTTTTAGAGTAGACTCGTTTTAGAGTAGACTCGTTTTAGAGTAGACTTGTTTTAGAGTAGATTCAGAATCAAACTCGGTGGACTCTGAGTAAACTTGCGAGTCTGAGGCAAGTCACTGAGTTTGGGGGAAAAGAGAAACTTACGTCTTCTCCGGCTCGCACACCTCATTTCTTCTCACAAGTTCAGATCTCGCACTCCTCATCCTTTTTCTTTGTTCGCCGCTGCATTGTGCTTCTAGTCATCGTTGGTGGTCATCATCACGTTGGTCTTCGTTGCGGTGGTCACTATTCCCTAGTCCTGGTTGCGGTTTCGTTGTCACGTTCGCACTGTTTGCTTGTTGCACGTGCTGCTTGTCGTTAGTCGTGCTCGTTGTTGTCATCCCTGGTTGCACTGCTCTCGCCACCCCTCTCGCAGGTTAGATTAAGGTATTTGGGATTTTAGGATTTTTCAATACATCGGGGGATTTTAGGGATATTTTTAATTATTTTTTTTATTTTGATTATTTTGCTGGAATTGAGATTTAGGGATTTTTCAATTGTAGGTTCAATTGAATTTTTTTTTTTTTGGATATAAAGATTAAAATTGAAAATGCCTGGAAATGGTATTATCATACTTATTGTTAAATTGATATTTTTCCTACGAAGTAGGGTACAGACCTCCTATGAGTCCATGTAGACTACGATAACCTTGAGTGTAATCTACTGTTATTTTGCTTTTGGATACTGATGAAGATGAGAGAGATAGGGAGATTTATTCCAAGTGACATAAATTTTGCTTGCAAATTTTGGAAATAAAGAAATGGGCATAATCTGGTGATTTTCTTGGGAAATCGTCTTGTCTCAAATCATATCTGACTCTTGAACTAACAATAATTGTTTCTTATAAATTAGGCCTAAGATATTTAATCGATTTGGAAACCTTTGATTAGGACATCATTATGACTTAGCACAATAAATTGGTTTTAATTGGATTAAGAACGTACTTTTTCCATTCAAAGCCATGCAGTCCGATGTGAACTCCTTTATGCCTTTTATATGTTCCGATTTTATTAGTTCCATATTAATGACGTTATTGGAGATAGTTGGATTGGTTGAAATCGTTAGTTAAGATGATGGTTTGATTAGTTAGTTTCTCCTGCATATATATAATTATGGCATTTTGTAATTTGTTACTGGCTTCATTTTGTATTAATAATTCGTTCATTCTTAGATTCTCATTATTTTCTATATAATTTGGACTCTGTCATGTTTCTCGAAATGGTAATAGAGATCCCCGTGGTATCAACCATGAAAATTCTCTTTTGCTGCATGGATCTCTCCTGAGCTCATTTTCCTTCGTCTTCTTCCCTTTTCCCTCAATTTATCAGTTCTGTTTGTACTTCATTCACAGTGATTTTCTTGTCATATCAATGATTCTATCTCTCATTGCTCTCTTCAAAACCCAGATCCAGGTCCTATCTCACCATTTTTCTCTCTGATTCTCAGTCCCTAATCAGATTCCTATTCTCCCTCCATAACAATGTTCCAATCACTCACTGCACTATACACATCCGAGAGATCCCAATGGAATCACTAGCACTGACAATGGGTGTGACCTCACACACCTCCATTTTCATGTTTTTGACTCATCCAATAGAGTCAAGGTTGTTTTACTTCTTGTTCTCTACTGAATCGCAAACACAAATATGAATCTGATCTTGATTATGCATTCAGAAGAGTCTTTGAACCAGGAAAAATGGTTTATATGTTCCCTCCGATTAAGTTATGGAAGATTTGAATTTTCATATCATACTCTGGTTTGTGAATCTGATTTGAAGATTTCAATCTATGTGGAGTTAATTCTTTGTTCTTGATGCTGTAGTTAGTGGCCAACTATCTAAAATTCACTTCCATGCTAAGATTGTTAAAGTGAGTGCTTAATTTTAAGCAATCTTGTAAACAACTGTATTAGAGATTACCTTGTGTGGTTAATCTTTGTTTGATTCACTTCTGCCTAGCATTTAAGCATTTGAGTGTTGCTTTTTGGAGGGTGATTAAACTTGCTCCCAAGTTTGCATTGTTAATTGCACCGACATTTGGAATCTTTTTGATGTTCTGACATATTGTATTTTGCTGATGTGATTATGCCTTAGTATTTTTCTAAATTGTAAGTGTTAACATTCACTTTCTACCTCCTAGAAAGGGGGTAGGGCGTACTAGAGATATTATGTTAAATTACTTAGTTAAGGTGATAGTTATATTAGGTAGTCTCTTCTCCCCTATATACAATGTATTCATTCATTCTCTGAATTTATTTCTACTTTCTCTCTACTTGGACTCTATCATGTTGCCAGGATTGTTTTAGGCAGCTTTTACGCTTTCTAATTATTCTCTATTGATGTCTAGGATCTATTTACTATTGGCCTTGGCTGGATAATTTTTGGTGGGCTTCCTTTTGATACTGTGAGTATTCTTGTCCTTACTCTGCCTGTTCTGGTGTTCCCAATTGATTATATTTTTTACTGATGATAGAATGTGTTTTTATTCTATTTCAGTGGAACGTAATTGGGCAGTTGCTTGGTTTTGCTGGATCTGGTCTATACGCCTACTACAAGCTCCTTGGCAAATAACTCACTCGAGTCCTCTAGAAGAAGCTTTTTTTTTCAATTTGGGAGTGCCATTTGCTTCAGTCTTGTGCCCATCTCTGCATCCCTCGAGAAGGAAGAAGAATCTGAACCGACCTCGGGTCTGGGAGCTTGTGATCGACTAATTGATACTTCTGGCAAGTTTTGCTAATTACAACTTGACATGCAAACAGTTTCTGTGGAATCAGACGAGAAAGGCTGTCATGGCTTTAATGTATTCAAACATCTATTGATCTAGTAGTATGTTCACCCATTGATTGTATGATGAATGTCAGGCATATCTCTCTGTAAGTGTAATTGCTAACAAGCATTGTATTTTAATAGAAAATTCATCGTAGGGAGAAAATTTAAATCTACTAATTCATTTCATTATCCCCCTCTCCCCTCCCTCTCTGGTTTGAAAATACTCATTTAACATGATAATAGAAGTATTTCACGGTTACTAAGTAATTGAAGACAGAGGATTAATTTTCACTTACGCATATTTTAAATAGTTGATAGTTAGCAGAATCGATTGTTTGAATTGGTGGGGATCCATCTCCAAAAATTTGTCGTATTCATTTTTTAATTACTCAAGCAGTATCACATATTCATTTTTTAATTACTCAAATAGTATAATGTAGATTTTATTTATTTACATAACATTGTTTTTTTTTTTAAGTGAGGATTATCTTATATACGAAATTTAAATGTGGGTGTATATACATATATTTTTTAAACAAGATAAAATTCGGTTTTCGGCAACTAAATTTTGAATTAATTTTTTTTAATTTTTATTTATTTTGTTAAAAAAGAAAAACTAACTATAATATATATATATATATATATTATAATGTTTTATTTAAAATTTATAGATTTAAATTACAATTTTAAAAAGATTTATATATTTCTTAAATTAATAATATATTTCTTAAATTAATAATATATTTAGATTTATCGTTGAAAGTAGTAAAATAATATTTTTAAAATATATTATTAAATATTATATATATTTTATTTGTATGGTTAATTTTTTTTAATTCTTTGATTTATTTGATATTGTAATATTTTTTTAGAAATGAATAATAAATTAGAAAGATAATAAAAATATTTAAAATTATATGTATATAAGATGAAATAATATTTTGATGTAAAATTATATTTTTGAAATGTATTTTTTTATGTATTTTGTAATATTTTGGAATATATATATATATATATATATCTATATATATATTTATTTATTAAAATATAATTTATTATTAAGTTCATAATTATTATTTTAATTTATGTAAAAAATATATATAAAATTAATTTAAATTTCATATATGTAATTTTAATTTATGTAATATATATAAATATATATATATATATATAATTTATTTAACATTAAAAATAGTTATATTTTTATTAATTTTATAATTATAATTTTTTAAGATTATAATTTTAAATATATTTTTTTAAACTTTATATTTATAATTTATATAATATATATAATAAATAATTATTTTTTTAATTTTAATTTGATATATACTTTTATTTATAATTATTTAATGTATATTTAAAAAATTAATTGATTATTTAAAAATTAATCAATTATAATCAATTATTTAAAAAAGTAACCGATTTTCACCGAGTAATTGAAAAAAAAAAATATATATATATATATAATATTATAATGTTTTATTTAAAATTTAAAGTTTTAAATTATAATTTTAAAAGGATTTATATATTTATTAGTTTAATAATATATTTAGATCTATTATTGAAAGTAGTAAAATAATATTTTTAAAATATATTATTAAATATTATATTTATATTTTATTTGTATGATTAAATTCTTTTTAATTCTTTGATTTATTGGATATTGTAATATTTTTTTAAGAAATTAAAAACAAAATTAGGAGGATAATAAAAATATTAAAAATTATATGTATATAAGATGAAATAATATTTTGATATAAAATTATATTTTTGAAATGTTTTTTTTTTGTTTTGTAATATTTAAAAAAAAAAAAAATATATATATATATATATATATATATATTAGGAATGAAAATAAATTATATTTAAAATATATATATATATATATTTTATAATTCTAAATATAATTTATTTTTAAATTGATAATTATTATTTTAATTTATGAAAATATATATATATATATATATATATATATAATTTGAAGTTCATATGTAATTTTAATTTATGTAATATATATATAATTATAATTTATATAATATATAATTGATTTAACATTAAAAATAGTTATATTTTTATTAATTTTATAATTATAATTTTTTTTAAGATTATAATTCTAAATATAATTTTTTAAATTTATAATTATAATTTATATAATATATATAATTTATAAATAGTTATTTTTTTAAATTTTAATTTGATATATATTTTATTTGTAATTATTTATTGTATATTTGAAAAATTAATCAATTATAATCGATTATTTAAAAAGCTAATTGATTATCTAAAAATATAATCTGTAAAACTGATTACAATCGAGTCATTGGAAAACTAATCGATTAGCTTTTGAAATAATTTCAAATATACATTACATAAATATATATATATATATATATAATATTATAATATTTTATTTAAAATATATAGTTTTAAATTATAATTTTAAAAAATTTATATATTTCTTAAATTAATAATATATTTAGATTTATTGTTAAAAGCAGTAAAATAATACTTTTAAAATATATTATTAAATATTATATTTATATTTTATTTGCATGGTTAATTTTTTTCTAATTCTTTAATTTATTTGATATTGTAAAATATTTTTTAGAAATGAATAATAAATTAGGAAGATAATAAAAATCTTAAAAATTATATGTATATAAAATGAAATAATTGTTTGATGTAAGATTATATTTTTAAAATGTATTTTTTTTTGTTTTTGTAATACTTTGAAATATATATATATATATATATATATTTTATATTATAGAAATGAAAATAAGTTATACTTTGAAAAAAAAAAATATATATATATATATATATTAAAATATAATTTATTTTTAAGTTGATAATTATTATTTTAATTTATGTAATATATATATATATATATATATATATATATATAATTTGACGTTCATATATGTAATTTTAATTTATGTAATATATATATATATATATATATATAATTTACATAAGATATATAATTTATTTAACATTAAAAATAATTATATTTTTATTAATTTTATAATTATAAATTTTTGTAAGGTTATAATTTTAAATATGATTTTTTAACTTTAAATTTATAATTTATATAATATATATATATATATATATATATATATAATTTATAAATAATTATTTTTTAATTTTAATTTGATATATATTTTTATTTATAATTATTTAATGTATATTTGAAAAACTAATTGATTATGTAAAAACTAATCAATTATTTTAAAAAGTAACCTGTTCTCATTGAAAAACTAATCGATTACTTTTTTGAAATAATCAATTATTTCAAATAGTAAAACAAAATATATATATATATATATATATATATATATATATAATATTATAATGTTTTATTGAAAATTTAAAGTTTTAAATTATAAGTTTAAAAGAATTTATATATTTATTAGATTAATAATATATTTAGATTTATCGGTAAAAGTAGTAAAATAATATTTTTAAAATATATTATTAAATATTATATTTATATTTTATTTGTATGATTAATTTTTTTAATTCTTTGATTTATTTGATATTCTAATTTTTTTAGAAATTAATAATAAATTAGGAGATAATAAAAATCTTAAAAATTATATTTATATAAGATGAAATAATATTTTGATATAAAATTATATTTTTGAAATGTATTTTTTTGTGTGTTTTGTAATATTTTAGAATATATATATATATATATATATATTATTTTTAGAAATGAAATTAAGTTATATTTTGGAAGATATATATTATAATTCTAAATATAATATTTTTTAAGTTGATAATTTTTATTTTCATTATGCAAAAAAAAAATATATATATATATATATATATAATTAATTTAAAGTTCATATATAATTTTAATTTATGTAATATATATATATATATATATAATTATAATTTACATAGTATATATAACTTATTTAGCATTAAAAATAGTTATATTTTTATTAATTTTATAATTATAATTTATTTTAAGATTATAATTCTAAATATAATTTTTTTTAATTTTATAATTATAATTTATATAATATATAATTTTTAAATATTTATTTTATTTAATTTTAATTTGATATATATTTTTATTTGTAATTATTTAATGTATATTTGAAAATTTAATCGATTATAATAAATTATAATCTATTATTTGAAAAAGTAGTCTGTTGAAAAACTAATCGATTAGTTTTTTGAAATAATCGATTAATTTTTTAAATATACATTAAATAATATATATATATATAATATTATAATATTTTATTTAAAATTTATAGTTTTAAAAAGATTTATATATTTATTAAATTAATAATATATTTAGATTTATTGTTGAAAGTAGTAAAATAATATTTTTAAAATATATTATTAAATATTATATTTATATTCTATTTGTATGATTAATTTTTTTTAATTCTTTGAGTTATTTGATATTGTAATATTTTTTATAAATTAATAATAATTTAGGAGGATAATAAAAATCTTAAAAATTATATTTGTGTGTTGTAACATTTTTGGAAATAAAGTTGTGTTACTATTAATTTTTTCATAATTTGTTAAATTCATATTAATGTCTTAAAAAATTCAGATCAATTGTCTTTATTGCTTGAAATATTACAAGAAAACATGATTATCTCATTTTTATCACACTCACAACCCCGCTCATAAGTTCCAAAAAGTCACACTCCTATTATAGAATTCAGCTTTCTTAAGTTACTATTATATGATTAAAGAATAATTTATAATAAAAATATGTTTAGACTAAATGAAATATATATTTAAAATGTAAAAGAAAAAAAATTAAGATGTAA